ACAATGTGTTTTTTGTGCTATTATAAATTTTAGTATAAATACCTAATACTACATTATATGAATATACACTAATTTATTACACACTGTCAGAGGTTTAGGTTCCCTATTATAAGTTTACAATTAACTTCTTTGTACAAAATGTTTTTTTCTGAATTTAAGTGTTTTTTTTCCCAGAAGTAGGATCACTAAGTTAAAGCCATTTTATATTTTTGAGTCCCTTGCCATGTAATTTAAAATAGCTTTTAAGAAAAGTTATTTCAATTTTCACTTCCAAGAACAACGGAATTTCTGATATTGAAACTTTGACCGTCGTGACTGATGACAAGAGATTTTTCAACCAGAGGCCTTTCTATGTTTCTGTCAAGTCACTTTGCAGAACACCTTTTGCATTACACTTACTTGACTATATGTCCTCTACAGAATGACTCCTAGTAAAAGATATTTTTATCTTTAAAAAATGTGTCCATTCCATCCCAGAAAACAGCACCCACCAATTTTACACCCTTGGGATATCCTATTGGATAACAAGTCAGTGGCTGCCATGCTTCATGTGCATAATAATCCCAGGGATGGGGAGAGTGTCACTATGCAGAATGGGCTCTTACTCCTTAGGCTGAGTGAGTGAGTCTGGGGTTGGGATCCTGGAATTTGTATTGTTAACAGGGGATTCTGATGCAGTGAATGATCTCTCAGCAGTCAAAGAGAATTTCTACTCTGTAGATTAAATTACTGATTCTTGATGTTTGGTGATTAACAGTGGTTGATTGCAAAAAAAAAAAAAAAAAAAAAGCCATATAGTGAAAATGAATGTGGGAAATACTGACTTAAACATATTAAACAGGGTTAAATGTATTTCTCAGGATTTTTAATATGCTGATGCTCTCTAACTTTTCAACATGCTATTGCTCTCTGGCTTTCCAAAGAGGGCTTATTTTTTTGCAGCCAAATTTAAGTAACTAACAGAATTCATTTCATTGTTTATTGTTTATTCGTTTATTTATTTTTTTGAGTCAGGGTCCCACTCTGTCACCCAGGCTAGAGTGCAGTGGCACGATCTCGGCTCATTGCCATCTCTGCCTCCTGGGTTCAGGTGATTCTCCTGCCTCAGCCTCCTGAGTAGCTAGGCTTACAGGTGCATGTCATCATGGCTGGCCAATTTTTGTTATTTTCAGTAGAGACACAGTTTGCCATGTTGGCCAGGCTGGTCTCGAACTCCTGACCTCAGGTGATCCTTCTGCCTTGGCCTTCCAAAGTGCTGGGATTATAGGCGTGAGCCACTGCACCTGGCCTGTTTATTTTCTTTAGTTTTTTTTGTTTGGGCGTGGGCCAACTGTTAACATCTGATGTTCCTGGTAACAAAGTTTGAAAATCCTGGATTAAGCGATCTATTACAGTATTTCCCATCATTCCCTTAGTACTTTAAAAAATTTAATGAACTTCCCTAGGCACGTGGCTTTTATTATATGGTTTAGGCAAAGTAAAATTTTCATATTTTGTAAATCTAAATTTTCAGGGCTAGATTGACTTCCTAGCAAACATGCTTTTTTTCTTTATATTCAAATGCCTTTTTTGTTCATTCTCTTAATAAAAAGTGTACCAAAGAAACCTGTTTTGAAGCCCTCCATTTCCTATTACTGCCTATTAACTAAAGTAAGATGTGATCTAGAAGAACTTCATATAATAGAAATAAAGCCCACGTGACCAAAAATTTAACACTCATCCATCAACAACTGCTTTAGAAGTGGCAGTGTCTTTATTGTTTAGAATTTCTAATGTTGGGGTTTATTCAAAGTGTTATAAAAAAGGTCTTTTGAAACACTCCTGTAGCAAATTATTTTGGCTGAATTACAAATCCTCAAAAGTGGGGCTTTATTATAATGGAAACAGAGTTAGAATAAACTCTAACAACATTTGTAGGCAGCACTGTGTAATGAAGGTTGAGTGCATTGCTATATTATGACTAGAGGCATATCTTTTCACTATCTCAGTAAAGCACTCCTAGCTTTTATACACAGTGTTACTGGTCAAGTGTTCTGTAAGCTTCCCTGTTTCTTTTTATCCAATTGTTTCACACATCTTCTGCATATGAAGCACCGCAATTTCAGGTGACCCTGTCAGGTTTAAATTATTAGCTCTGGATCATTCTCCTGTTAGAAATGTTCTACATATTCATCTGTAGAAGTAAATAACAGCTTCAACTTAACATGTCAACAACTCTATAGAACATTCTAGCTAACTTCGATGAGCTTTAATCTTGTTAATAGCATCCCCTGAAGTTTGGTTGGTCAATAATCAGGAAGGAAAATACAGGGTAACTCACTAATTTTGTACTGGTGTTTTGTAATTTGCAAAGCAGGAAATAGACCTGAACAAATTAGAGAAATCTTGAAACGCTTCTGTGAGGCAGATATTGTTATAACTTCTTCCCCACAAAGGTGGAGAAGCTGAGACTCAACTAAATTAAGTAACTCACCCAAAATTTCTTCCTCAGGAAATGATGCAGCTAGGACTCACAGCCAGGTAGTTTGATGTGAAAATCTGTATTTTTTTCTATCACATGTTTCATTTCTCCAAGTCACCTTCCACTTAGACTATATAAACTCCAAGATAATTTGATTGTTTACATTTGCCCTTTAAAGATCACCAAGGAACCTACCAACTTTCCAGTTACAAATATTTTCCATGTAACTTTCATGAAAGCAGTACAGTGTTGAGAACTGAGTGAATTACAGATAATTGAGTTTCAGTAAATTCTGTGTTCACTCATTAGTCTTGTGACATTGAGAATGTTACCTCCTTAAGCTAGTTTCTATTTATGAAAATGAGGACTGACTATAGCATGTAGTTTATGGGATTGTTATAACATATTTATGGAATATGCCCAACACAATAGTGAGGGTACCCAGTAACTAACTTTAACCTTATTTGCAAAATTTCACAATGTTTAATTTCACCTGAGCCAGAAAAACAGTAAAGGGTAAGAAATCTCCCCACTCTTTGTGTTCTGGAAAATGACTTAATAAGACTTACAGAGGCCAGGCATGGTGGCTCACGCCTATAATCCCAGCACTTTGGGAGGCTGAGGTGGGTGGATCATTTGAGGTCAGGAGTTCGAGACCAGCCTGGCCAACATGGTGAAACCCCGTCTCTACTAAAAATACAAAAGTGAGCTGGGTGTGGTGGGGAGGCTGAGGCACAAGAATTGCTTGAACCAGGGAGGTGGAGGTTGCAGTAAGCCAAGATTGTGCCACGGCACTCCAGGCTGGGTGACAGAGCGAGACTCTGTTTAAAAAAATAATAATAATATAAAAAGACTTACAGATGCCTCCTTTGTTTACTTATAACAAGGCCTGACATAGATCCTCAAAATTTCTTTTTTTAGCCTCATAAATGATAAGCTAAACTGCTTGTCCCATTGATCAATTGGAACAAAATTCTTGGTATTGAAACTTTGGTTAAGCTTCTTTCCTTCCTCCAGGACCCTGAACTTTGGCCCACCCTCAGCCTGGGCTAGCATACAATGCCTCTTTAGAATAAGCTGATCTCGAGGTCAGACATTCTCTCATATACTATCTGATCGCACCATCTTTTATTCTACTTTCCCACACTTGGTTCTTCCTAGCTTTGTTTATTCCTCTCTGAAAAAGAAAAAAACCTTTTTATTTTTTTCTTTTTTTGGCCTAACTTTTGAGATGCTTGCAGATCTCATGGTCAGAGCATTCTTCCTGTTACAATAGTCCTCCTCCCCCTATTGCAATAGTTTCCTTACAGCAATCTCCCCTTACAATAATCTTTTTGAATAAAGTCTCTTCTTACTAAGTCCAGATTTGTTTTTATTTGACAAATGTATAGAAGGATATTCTATGAAAGAGATCTGCAACCACTAGCATGTTATCAAGAAGATTCCACTTTGGGAGGCCGAGACGGGCGGATCACGAGGTCAGGAGATCAAGACCATCCTTTCACTTGATCACACGGTGAAACCCCCGTCTCTACTAAAAAATACAAAAAACTAGCCGGGCGAGGTGGCGGGCGCCTGTAGTCCCAGCTACTCAGGAGGCTGAGGCGGGAGAATGGCGTGAACCCGGGAGGCGGAGCTTGCAGTGAGCTGAGATCCGGCCACTGCACTCCAGCCTAGGCGACAGAGCGAGACTCTGTCTATAAATAAATAAATAAATAAATAAAAAGAAGATTCATAGAGTGAATGATTTTCTTTTGGTGGCTGCTTATGACATTGTCCTATAGCTCATCACTGGTCACTTAGAGGGAGGGAGATCAGGGTAAGGTCTAGAAAAGTTGCAGGAGGGTGGGAAATAGAACTGTTGTGACCAGCAAAATAATAGTCTCTTCTTTCTATTTAAAACAAGCTATAGTATATCCATCTGTCTTAGTCCACTTTGTGTTGCTATAACAGAATACCTGAGACTGGGTAATCCACAATGAACAGAAATTTAGTGGCTCATGGTTCTGGGAGGTCCATGATTGAAGGGTCTGCTTTTGGCAAGGGCCTTCTTGCTGCATCAGCCCATGGTGGAAGGGTGAAAAGAGGATGAGAAAGAGCAAGAGATTGAACCCTCAGCCTCAAGCTATTTTATAATTGGCATTAATCCATTCATGAGTGTGGAGCTCTCATGACCTAAATAGTTTCCATTAGGCCTCGCTGACATAGATCCTCAAAATTTCTTTTTTTAGCCTCATAAATGATAAGCTAAACTGCTTGTCCCATTGATCAATTGGAACAAAATTCTTGGTATTCAAACTTTGGTTAAGCTTCTTTCCTTCCTCCAGGACCCTGAACTTTGGCCCACCCTCAGCCTGGGCTAGCATACAATGCCTCTTTAGAATAAGCTGATCTCGAGGTCAGACATTCTCTCATATACTATCTGATCGCACCATCTTTTATTCTACTTTCCCACAC